TTCTTCGACGGCTTTTTGACTCAAATTGGATTTGAGTTTATTTGAGCGAAATTCACGTAATATTAAACTCATATTCTTCTTGAATGAGTTCTTAGCCTTGAGATTACCGTCGATGTCGTAGTAATGAGATATAGTGTACGCGAATGCATACTCCATGAGTGCCAGGAATACCATAATAAGACAGACCAGGAGCCAGATATCTACAGCTGTCACATGATTGGCCGCCTTCTCGTAATTTGTCAGGATTTGTGTCATTATAGTGAGGGTCGACATGATTCCTGACATTTGGGTATTATTTGAATATTTAATTAGATATTAAACTATCATTACATACCCAAAGACATTCTTCCGGGAACCGCTTCGACATCGAACCAGAATTGTATCCACGAAAGGGTGACCACCAAAGAGCTGGGAATGTAAACCGTTAATACATTTGCAGTTATGGTTCTCTCGAATATGAACTCCAGGTCCAAAACCGTATAGTTCTCGTTAAACCATTTGATTATATTTCTGTCATAATTGCCAATCTTTATGTCAAATAATGATGGCGTGAATTCATTCTTATAGATAACACTCTTGTTTTGGTGGGAATCGAAAAAGTCAATCGGACTCGAGTTGTCTTCAATCCAATACAAACTCACTCTTTCTATGGGCTCTGAAACTGAATGCAAATAACAAAATAAAAATATCTAATCGATGTAAATCACACAATTGATAAACCTACAGGTGCGAATATTGTAATGACATATATGCCTGTCCATTGGATAATTTTGCAAGTTCATATGACAACTGACTTTAAATGAATGCCTAAATATCGACACAAAAATTATTTATGAATCGCAGACTTATTGAAGATTTGACTCAAACCTTGACTTTCTTATTAAGATATTGTTTTTCTGAATTTTGATGACAGAGTTTGGCTGAAGAATTGTCTCCTTCTGAGTGCTGCCATCGAATACTAATGAAGGCGTCCAAAGACATGACGTGTATTCTTGGGGAACGGAAATGGATGTGTCTTCCAATAGACTCGTATTAATCCGACTGTCTTTCCACACTTCAAATAAATACAGTTGCAGTGAAAAATACTATAAAATAAAAATAATTTACATTTTAGTAAATAATAAATCAAAATATATTATAGCATAATGGAAACCTGGCTAATATAAAAATTAGTCTTGCAAAATAAAAATAAGATTTTGTTTATCAAAAAGTCATTAAAATTGATTATAAATTGTTTAATGTATGTTTTGTTTTATACTTAACTTTTTAAACAAAGTTTGTTTTACTAAAAAATATTTATAATCTACAGATTGATAGATTGGATAAAATATTTGGCACCGAATACAGTAGATTGAAAACACTTAATAAATAAAAGTTAAATAAATGTAGACTATAATTATTCGATGCTTGTTATGATTAAAATATAACTGTAATTATTATATTTAATATACTGTATTGTATTATTGTATAAATATTATAATATAAATTATACAATGTATCAATAATTACTTTTAAAAATAATAAACTTACATTTTCAGCATCATTAATTGTGTTGACGTCTATTATCTCGAGTCCAACGTATACGGGATGAGCTTAAAGTGTAATCAATACTTTATTAACTAATTAATATTATAATAAATTAATTATAACTAGAAAATTAACATAGTTATCACAAATGTGTTGGTTTCCTTAGTGTCATTCAGATTATTTAAATAAACAGATTATATAATTTATTTATAATAAGCACAGAATCTCACAAAAACAAAAGAAAATATACAAAAAATATAAAGAATTATGATTTTTACAGTAAGAAACTTTTGACTCACATTTATTTGGCGGCGATATTGTCATGTAATGTTTAGGCAAAAGTGATTTAATTTTCAAAGGATTATTCTCATCATTGTAACTGTATTATAGGAAAATCACATTAAGAATGTGTCAAAACAAAAGGCAAACTCTTAAACATCTGGATCACAGAATACATGACAACACCATACCTGCAATGGTTTGCATTTGATTGAATTACACAAATCAAATAGACCACAAGTAATGAATAATAAACTGTAGAATAAGTAGTGGTAAGACGAGAGACACATCGAAAACACATTGTGTTACTGTTAATCAACAATTTCATATCTGGATGTGGTTGGCATTAAGAATATGTAAGTCATTGTTTGTATATATTTTTTGAATTAATTGAATGTCAATCTAGATTTTTTCGACTAATAAATGAATCCGACAAACAAACAGAGTTTAAAATTCTGTTACATTTGTTATTAATTTAGATAATAATAGAATGTAATGAAAAATATATTACTTTGCGAGCAATCGTTTCATTTGTTGAGGTAATAAAAACAAACACTTATTTAATAATCAATCAATAAAATAGATTTCACCGTATTTTGTGCTCAACAAATATCAACTTATTTATTATTCTTAATCTTGTCATTCAAACGAAACACAATTTTTTATAATTAATATTTCATGAACTATATTATTTAATTAATTCCGTAAGTACTTAACACAGTGAAAAAAGTCTATATTTATTTAACAACTTTTCTGACAGATATTTGTAACGAAGTTTGGCGCAAATAATTTATAAATGATTAATAATTCATAACATATTTAATGTAGACATATATGAAATTGAAGTGAATTAGAAGTGATGCGAAATGTTGTACACATTCTGTGTCACCATTTAATTAAAATGAAAGAATAATAAAACCTTTTTAATGGTCTCATGGTTTGCGAAGCAATGGCAAGTGTTTTGAATGTTAAATAAGTTGTATTCAAATTAAGGCTCAAGAATGGGAGCAATTCTCGTTAAAAATAGCTCTCAATATGCGAATCGGTGTCTGAATGCTTTTTTGGTGTCTCTCCTCTCACTCTTAACTCTTTTTAGTCTCTATTGACAGAAACGAACACTAATTCTCTAATTCTGTTACTCTTTTCAAACGCCTAATCCTTGAAAACACTTTATATTCTTGTGTTTTAAATAGAATATCGTATGTATTGGGAGGACAGGAATTGTGTCCGGAATTCAATCCACAGAATCAAAGTCTAATTTAAGTGATTCTGTAATAATAGACTCGCTTTACAACAGAATACAGCTCTCTATTGACAGTTCCCTTTGAACTTATCTATAAATATATCGAAACTCAGTTGAATTCTGGGAACTATAGTATAGATTGAAATCTCATGATATAGAAAAATAAAAATTAATTAAAACAGAATACAGCTCTCTATTGACAGTTCCATTTGAACTTATCTATAAATATATCGAAACTCAGTTGAATTCTGGGAACTATAGTATAGATTGAAATCTCATGATATAGAAAAATAAAAATTAATTATTCTATTAATAATTGTAAGCTACAATTGATAACTTTTATATAATTGAACTAACTGTAAACACTTTTTTGTACCATATTATTTTAGCAAATACAGTATTCATGAGTAAATACAGAATAACAAAGTATTATTCTATTAATAATTGTAAGTTACAATTTATAACTTTTATATAATTGAACTAACTGTAAACACTTTTTTGTACCATATTATTTTAGCAAATACAGTATTCATGAGTAAATACAGAATAACAAAGTCAAAATACTCTATTTTGAATCACTTTAATAAAGTACTTATAAAAGTCAATAAACAAATGACTATTATTTTAGATTTCTTTAGAATTGTGTCATTATATTGAGATATTTGTAGTTATTAATAGAGTATGTGCAAAACAATCAATTATATTTTTATTTTTTATCTATGTTTTAGATTAAAAGTTGCAAACCACTTTCTATTTATGATATAAAATAATTAATGAGACAATAATTATTATTGATTAAAAAATGTTTCCATTTGACTGTTAATTTCTACGTTACACTATATTATAATTAAATTAAAATTATAATAAAATATTAACTATACTTAGTTTTAACCTTTATGGAAAATGAATAAATTATTTATAAATAGAATTTACATAAAAGGAAGATTTAGATTATATAATATTATCATAATAAGATATTCATTAATTAATATGTATATTAAAATGGATTATAATAATGGCTCAAATACTTTTAAATCTTAAGTAATATTCAACTACAATCTGTAAAATAAAACTGCTTGGTAATGAATTAAAATTTTTAAAAGTGAATTACATTTAAAAAACAAATCAATGACACAGTTTTATAATAAACAATTATTGTAATTAAGCATTATGAGTATTGATAAATCCTACTCTAACAATAATAAAAAATTTTCATGCAAGTAACTAGTACAGTATATTATTTATATGACATATTTCACTAGTTCAATATTAAAATACAGTAAATATTTTATAGTAAGATTTTTTAAAATAACACAATAAATTCTTGAATAAAATAAGTAAAAACTGATGCAACTGTTCAAATGATCAAAATCGCTAGCTATAACAAGTTGCTGATACGGTAATTGAGATAATTGATATGGTGAAGGTCATTTCCCATAGCAAAACATCCATTTTTATGATCAAGGAGTGTTTACTATTACGTTTACTAGCTGTACGAGAGATCATAGTTTACAATGAGTTTATTTAGCAGAGTATTAGTAGTAATAAGTGCTATAATTAATGCCATTATAGAAGTGATTAAAAACATATTCGGTATAAGAAGGAGATGTGAAAGTAGGACACGACTCGACCATAAGGTGGTTGTCCTCACCGGTGGTAATACAGGCATTGGGAAGGAGACGGCCTATCAGTTGACATTACGTGGGGCTAAGGTTTGTATGAAATTGTTGCAAAGTTTGCATAAGTTTAGCCAAAGTTAGCCAAAGTTTCCATAAGTTATTCATTTGATTATACTTTCCATTGAAAGGTAATCATTGGTTGTCGTGATCTGAATAAGGGAAGGGATGCTGTCCAACACATCCGCTCTTTGAACCCAAAGGCAAACATCAGTTTAATTCAATTGGATTTGTCTTCACTTTCATCGGTGCGAGAGTTCGCCAAATCAGTGGCGGAACAAGAGTCCAGAATCGATATCCTTATAAATAATGCCGGAGTTATGATGTGTCCCGAGTTGGCCACCGAAGATGGCTTTGAGATGCAGTTCGGGACCAATCACTTGGGTATTAGTTGTGTTTCAATCACTTCCCAATTGACATCTAATTAGGAAGACATCTAATCCATGGTTTTATTTTTAGGCCACTTTTTGCTAACTTTATTACTAATTAATTTACTCAAGAAGTCAGTGAACGCCAGAGTAATCAACGTCTCATCGGCCGCACACTTAACCGGAAAAATATTTTTCGATAACATAAACCTGAGAAACGGCGCCTACAGTCCAGTGAAAGCCTACAGTCAAAGCAAATTAGCGAATGTCTTATTTACTCGAGAACTCGCCAAACGATTGGGTCCTAAATGTAATGTTAAGACATATAGTCTTCACCCGGGGATTGTGTACAGCGATTTGGGTCGTCATCTGCCCCTACAGTTTGTCATCACTTATGTTCTTCGGGTGATTAGTATTAATGTTGAGTTAGGCTCTCAGACCACACTCTACTGCGCCCTCGAACCCAGTCTTGACAACGAATCGGGACTTTATTACGAGTGAGTATTTGGCAAACTTACTAACTTATACTGGTCATTTGTTTTTGACTGATCAATAAATCATTTGTAAAATACTTGTAGTGATTGTCATCGCATCGATAAAATGACTGCAAACGCAACAAATGATGAAAACGCCGAAAACCTATGGATAATGAGCTGTGATTTAGTTAAACTCGACTCACGATTAAGACTCGACTAAATGTTACATTTATTTTCACAAAACTGATTATTACTTAATTATTTTTATTAAATTATATTTTGTTTTCATTAACTTTTTTATCTGAAAATGTTATGCCTGTATTAAAAAGTTAATTAAATTGTGAAATATGAATATATTTTTGTCATTGTGTTAAATAACATAGTATGTACTTTGTATGTACCAGTACATGTATTGATTTTTATAAATTAATTTGATTCTAGTTTACCTAAAATTTAATAATTTAAATTGTAAACACAATTTATTTTATGTTGTATATTAAATTCTTTATGAGTCTTAGATATAAACTCAAACCAGTTATTTAAAACCAGTTTTGTATAGCATATTACGGTAATAGACTGCATGTATTGTACGGTACGGTATATTCGTATATCTATTTTAGTTGAATCTGTGATCAAATGTCTAAAAGATTATTGACTATAGATCTTTTGATTACAATTAAATGTAATCTAATATTTTTCTGTAGATCTGTATATGAATATTTATTGACAAATGTATATTTTAGAAAGAAATGCAAAAGTAATAAACGACTTGATGGACAGGTAGTTGTAATAACGGGTGCCAACACTGGTATTGGCAAAGAGACTGCTCTCCAATTGTCATTACGTGGCGCTAAGGTTTGACTTATAAAATCAATATCATTAACAGTATAAATAGTTTTATTTGATATTTTCGTTATATAATCATAAACTCAAAATTTCAAATTTGTGAATTTCAATTCAAATTTCAATTTTGAAGCAAATTTGTGACTTTTAACCATTAGGTGATCATTGGATGCAGAGATGTGCAAAAGGGCGAGAATGCGGTCCAAGATATTAAGAATGAGAATCCGGACGCAAACATAATTGTCATGAAATTGGATTTGTCTTCACTTTCATCGGTGCGAGAGTTCGCTAAATCAGTTGCGGAACAGGAGTCCAGAATAGATATCCTTATCAATAATGCAGGAGTTATGATGTGTCCCGAGTCTACCACCGAGGATGGCTTTGAATTACAACTCGCAACCAATTATCTGGGTATAAATTAGTTTATATTTTAATAAGATTAAATATAAGCTAATTGTCTTATAAAAATATCTAGGACACTTTCTGTTGACCCACTGTTTACTACCATTACTGAAGAAGTCACCGAAAGCAAGAATCCTTAATATATCGTCAATTTGTCATATTATGGGAAAAATACATTTTGAAAACATAAACTTAAAGAATGGTGTTTATAGACCATTGAAAGCCTACAGTCAAAGCAAATTAGCCATCATTTTGAGCACTAGAGAAATGGCCCGAAGATTAGGTGCTGAGAGTACTATTAATGTGTATAGTCTTCATCCGGGAGTTATTCACACTGAGATTTCCCGACACTTTCCGTTATATTTTTATTTATTCATTAAAAACTTCATGATATCAATTGAGTTGGGGGTTCAGACAACTCTGTATTGTGCCCTCGAGGACAGTCTCCAAAATGAGTCCGGGTTATATTACGAGTGAGATATTCTTATAATTTTGCATAATTTTCAGTTTTAAAAATTATTAGTGATAATTATTTACTAATTTAGAATTTAATAAAAGGTTAACTTTAAATTATAATTTTTTAAATTTAAACAGAAACTGCAAACGAGTGGATAATATGGTCTCCCATGCAATCGATGAGAAAACTGCACAAAAACTTTGGCAATTGAGCTCTGATTTAATCAAACTTGAAGATCATCTTAAGATTAATTAATTGAAGATCGGAGTATCTTGATCTTATGTTAATTTTTGAATATTTAATATTTTTAAATGTTTATTTCTTGATTGTGTTACTACTTCACAATGACCAAGTTTATATTAATTTATTTCTATATTCAAATATTTAATAATACAATTACTGTATAATTCTATTGTCTGAAAATGATTCAAAATTGATGTTTTGTTTAGTAAAACATAATTTCTGATGGCATTGAAAACAGTTACAGTGTTAATATTAATCAAACAAAAAGTTTATTACAGGTTATGATCATAAATAGAGGCACTGTTTTCTAGTAAAAATGTATTTATCATTAAATTATAATCCAATGCCAAACCATCTGAAATGACTGAATAAAAAGGATATAAAAGTAAAACACACTGATTACTTTCCCATTTGTCAGTACCATGTTTAGTTCAGAATAATTGCAAACATTGAACATATAATAATTTCTGTTAATTAATTAATCAATTAAATTTGTGAAATTACTTTTTTATTACTGCAATATTTTAAAAATTAATTTAACTGTTATTGAATATAAAATGAGTTCTTTAAATGATTGGTTGGTTACAATAATTGCTTATTTTGAAATTTTCAAAATATTATTGGGAACTAAAAAGAAATATAAATTTAATGGAAAACTTGAGGGGAAAACAGTTTTGATTACCGGCGGAAATACTGGCCTCGGAAAGGAGACGGCATATCAGTTGTCATTATACGGGGCTAAGGTTTGTTGAACTCTTGAATTAATTGTCTTAATATTATATAAAACTTAATAACGAGTAAGACATTTGTCAAAATAACATGCTTTTTGAGATATTTATAGAATAGTCAGATAAAAATAAGAATAGATTATTTATTTTACTTGTAATTGTTTATATAAAAAGATAATTATTATCATATGTTTTTGTAATAAAACTTATTTGCTTAAATAGATTTTCAACTTATAATGTTAATTATATGATGTATTGATCAAGGTGATCATCGCGTGCAGAGATGTCCAAAAGGGTGAGACGGCTGCCCAATACATCAGAATTAAGAATCCAAAGGCAAATGTAATGGTAATGAAAGTGGATTTGTCTTCACTTTCATCGGTGAGAGAGTTCTCCAAATCAGTTGCAGAACAAGAATCCAAAATAGATATCCTAATCAATAACGCCGGAGTGTTTGGATGTCCTGAGTCTCAGACTGTTGATGGCTATGAAATGCATTTTGGGACCAATCACTTGGGTTCGACTTAAATAACAAATTTCAATCATTAGACTAATTTTACCCACAATTTTAGGTCATTATCTGTTGACACTGTCTTTACTACCATTACTAAGAGAGGCACCAAAAGCCAGAATAGTGAACGTTTCGGCGGCACTTCATATTTACGGCAAAATACACTTTGAAAACATAAACCTACGAAACGGCGCCTACACTCCACTCGTGGGTTACGCTCAGAGCAAATTGGCTAACATTATGTTCACACAGGAATTGGCCCGAAGATTAGGACCCAATAGCTCTGTAACGGCTTATAGTCTACACCCGGGAGTCATAATCACTGAATTACAGCGAAATCTGTCGAAATTTCTCAAATATCTCCTCAGCTTCTTCACGGTGTCCATTGAAATGGGAGTCCAAACCACACTCTATTGTGCTCTCGAAGAAAGTCTTCAAAATGAGTCCGGATTTTACTACGAGTTAGTTATCACTCGTTATTACAATTTCTAAATAAATGACTAGTTTTTTAATAAATTAATTACAATTAATTTGTTTTGCAGTGATTGCAGTCGTGTTAATCGTATGATATCTCAAGCAAGTGATGTCGAGTCGGCTAAAAAACTTTGGGAATTGAGCTCTGATTTAGTCAAACTTGAAGACAATCTTAATATTAATTAAATTAACCATTATAATTTGCAAACAGAATATAATTTTAACAGATTATATGTGAATTATTATTCTTGATAATAAAATAAATGAGTTTAAATTAAAGTTTAAATTAATTGATAAATAACGTGTGAAATACCGTAAGTTATCGTTTGAACACAACTTCAGAAAAGTTTGAATTTAGTCGAGAGATGATTGGAAACCGGTTTCCAAATCATACCTAAATATTCTTCAATAGACTCATCCATTCATATCATTTACAATCTGATCATTCATTTGAGATAAACAAACAAAATATTAAAACAATGAATTTATTGGACTTATTCAGTGAAATCAAAATAAAATTTATAATTTTATTCACTATTTTCGTTGAGTTATTCAAGAATATACTGAATATTAGAAGAAAATGTAGGAGCGATACAAGACTTGATGGAAAGGTAGTGGTGATAACCGGTGCCAACACTGGTATCGGCAAAGAGACGGCACTGGAACTGTCATTACGAGGCGCTAAGGTTTGTGTCCATAATCTGTCATTTGATTCCTTCGACTGAACTTTGATTTGATTTCAAAGATAATAATTGGTTCGCGAGATGTGGACAGAGGAAAGAGAGCCGTTCAAGACATCCAACTCAAGAATCCAAAGGCAAACATAATTGTCATGAAATTGGATTTGTCTTCACTTTCATCGGTCCGACACTTCGCTAAAACAGTTTCCCGCGAAGTGTCCACTATTGACATCCTTATGAATAACGCCGGAGTGATGGCGTGTCCCGAGTCTACCACCGAAGAAGGCTTTGAGATGCAGTTCGGAACCAATCATTTGGGTATTACTTGTATTAAGTTTGCAGACAATGAATAAAAGTAGAGAATTGAACCCAATTTCAGGCCATTATCTGCTGACCCTATCACTGATGCCTTTATTGAAGAAGTCGCTGAAAGCGAGGATAATAACTGTCTCATCGATAGCTCATATGTCGGGAAGCATTCACTTTGAAAACATAAATCTCCGAAACAAGGCGTACGACCCGATGACAGCCTACAGACAAAGCAAATTAGCGAATATACTCTTCACGCGACAACTCTCCCGAAGATTAGGTCCCAAAAGTAATATCAATGTCTATTGTCTTCATCCGGGAATCATTAGGACTGAGTTATGGCGACACAACTCCAGTAGTCCAGTCAAGAGGTTGTTACACAAGTTGTTGCTAATTGACTCGCGACTGGGTGCTCAGACATCCCTGTACTGCGCCCTCGACAACAGTTTGGACAACGAATCGGGATTTTATTATGAGTGAGATTTAAATTTTTATAAATGTGTCCATTTATTTGACTTTTAAATTGATTGTATGCAGTGATTGTCGTCGAGTCGATGATTGTTGTATGGTTCCGGTGGCCAGGGATGACAACACTGCAGAACTGTTATGGAATTTGAGCTCTGATTTGGTTAAACTTGAAGATCACTTCAAACTCGATTTAATTAAATAACTCTTTAATCACTATTAAGAGTATAAACGTGTCAACACATCAATAATTGTATGTTTGTTACAAGAATTTGTATATCAATGTGTAAAGGGATGGGAACGACATAACATGACAGGACAGGACATATCGCTTATATAAACGATGAAACAGACTTTAGGGAATAACTTGAGAATCTAATTGACTGATAACTTGTTTATTACTTAAAATATATTTAATTAGTATTAAAAAAATATATTTTACTATAATTTGTTAGCCCAGGGTATTATATTCATGTTCAATGAAAATATGATTATGAGTCCAAAAAATAGTTGAATTAATTGTAATTAATTTTGTCACAAGTTTACAAAATAATGAGTTTAAAGACTTTTTAAAACTTTATTTAGAAATTAATTATAAGCTATCTATAAATAAATATAATTAGTTTTTGAAGTTTGAATAAAACAATTAATTGGTTTTATATTAATTCTAAGTCTACAGTCAATTGCTTGATATAAACATCACTCAAAAAGTGGAAATAAGTATTATTTGCAAATAATTGGGCGAAACAAACAAATACTGCCGGCATTTGACTGCAAATTCATCAAATTGGCTCAAAATCAAAAAAGGCCTCAATTTGTAAATCAAAAATTTTATAAACATTAAAAGTATTATATAATAAATGAGTTGAAAGGGAGTATTAGTGTATAGATAGTTGAAAATCAGGTCGTTTTCAGTGTTCGACTTTGTTATGAGTTGCAGCTATTTGGCGGAGTCTTTCCCTGTATATTCAAATCAAATATCATACAAAATAAATTACCAATTCATTTGATTTTGTTTGTGTGAATGCAATTCACTTCTAACCTGGTATTTATCACAAACTAAAGTTTTAAAGTCGCCATAAAGTGCTACGTTTTGGTCGGTTTCAGTGAATGCCTAATGAAATAGAAAGTTATATAAATGTAATTGTAATTGTATTTTGAGAAATCATTAATATAAAAATTGTGAATATATTAATAATATAAAATGAATGGTGGACTAACATCGTTGATGACAACCCAGGGCACAAATGTGAGTTTGGGTGACAGGCGTTGAGTGCGCTCTCCATTCTTGATGTGCAGTCGTTTGCCCTCAAGACTTGCGGAACAGCTTTGGATTTGTGTGTAATTAATTCCGTGAGTTATCGCACACTTGAAAATCAAAGTGAAAAAACAACAATTTTGTGGTAAGTTTGCGGTAAAAGTATTTGTTTCCATATGTTTTTAGCTAAGAAATAATATATAAGGTGAACGTACTCTGGTTTCTTAGTTAGTATGCATTCCTAACTAACTGTTATTACATCTCATTTTTTATAAAGGGTTGTGGTTATAATAATTTTGATGCAATTATGCAAATAATTTTCAGATCAAATAAGATAAAAAAAATTAATGCCTAATACTGGGAAAAAGATATAACATTAATTTATTCGTCAAAGTGTTAACTGGTTATCAATAATCTTAAAACTTAAAGCAATAGTCATGAGAATTTTATTTATTAATGATATAATGAGTTAATTCATGATTTTCATGAGTACAGTATCTTTTAAAAAATTGATAATTCTAGATCTGATTTTTCATTGGTATTTTCACTTCAGAATTATATATACTTTTGAGTATATTTATATAACCATTTGATATGAATAAAAATAAATTAACAAACAAAAATAACATTTAGTATTACAAATACATATTTTGTTTGTAGAATATCTGAATAAGGTTTGTTCTAAATTAAAAATCTTAGAATTTCTATTATTTCAAAAAATTTCAAAAGAAAAACTTTTGCATACCGTATAGCTTATTATAGCGTACACTTTTGTATAGCTTATTTTGAAACATTAACATTTTATATTTGATAGACAGAAGTTATTAAAGCGATATTGATAAATGGGAATATTTTTCAAATGTACAATAATTGAATTGAATGTATACCTCATTGGCTATTGTGCTGATGTGGGGTCTATACCTTCCATAGAAACGATTTTCCATACAATTAACAAATGGCAATACAATTGTCATATTGTTATCTAAGTATTTAATAGCACAGGACTGGATGGTATTCCCCTCACACTCTTTGGACCCGTGATGGCAATAGATCTCCACATCTTCGCGGTATTGTGTGTGCTATCAGCCATCCAAACAGATATACAATACTTTTATTAAAAATGGTTTTGGATTTCAAAATAATTTTATTGAAAAATGGGGAAAATTATTAAATGTTAACAATTATTATTTTTTGTATTAAACCAACAACAATTATATTTTACGCTCTGTTTAGTAGTACTTTTTATATACTTTTTTGATTTGATATCTCGAAATAGAAATTTTGTCCGAAATATACAGTATATATATATATACTGTTTAAAGTACTCGTAAAACTAATATTTGGGAAAACAAATAAAATAAGTAAAAACAAAGGGCACATACCTCTGCCTTTCCATATGGTATGAGATTAATGTCCATTATTTCTCCAATTTTGCCAAAAGTTGGGTAAAGTTTTTGGCGAATGAATTGAATGCTATCCGGACATAGAGTCTCATAATAGACATCAATCTTAACATTAGTCGCGTTCTGTTGACATTTAATTACATTTTGACAGTAATATAAAAAGGAGACAAAAGCCAACAAATATTTCATAACTGAATGAATGGATGCGAATAATAGGAAGAAAATGTTTACTCTTAATAGCTTTTCGAGAGAAAAATACGCGTATTTTGAGAGTATTTATGAAAAGAAAAATGTGATGAGAAAAGCGATGACTGACTCAAACAAAAAACAGACACAAAATAAGAGGAAAAATCAATAGTGAAAAACGTCTTATGGTATATGAGATGCAAGTAAGCGATGAAAATAGTGGTATAGTTCAGGGATTTTCTGCAAACTTGAATTTTGCGTTCACTCCGACACCCATTCACTGATTCCGCCCAACCATTCACTGCCAGCCATACAATCCATGAAACGCTTACATCATTTCACTCCAAACGAGTCCTTTAAGTCATTTAGACTTAAGTCCTGTCGTGTCCTTCGCGAACAAACATCCATTCAATTCAGTGTTGGTTTCGATTCTATGATTATATTCTCTCACATGTGATAACATAGTATTTATAACTCAATTCTTTGTAAACATATTATACA